GAGGCTCAGAAGGCAGGGCTGGGCTGTTCTTTTTAACCAGAGCCGTTCCCTGAACTAAACCATCATATACACTTTGCCATCTATTCTCTTACTCCCACATTTACATTATGCTTTTAATAGTATTTGAAAAATCCTAAATGAATGAGGAGATATCCTTTCAGGGCATAACCTGACCTGTTTTCTCCCCTTTATAAGCAATGATGCAAGTGAAATGGAGCGAGGTTTACAACTCAGGATGAGTCTGTGGATTTAGTAGAAAGGTTTCATATGAAACAGTGAAGTTAAATGAACCACTGAAAGGGAAATAAATAGATAATGTTTAAAAAAAAGGGCAAGAAAGAAAAGTTAAAGACAAGTAACAAACTATGAATTCAGTATCAACATTTATTTTGGATATCTATCACAGAAATTATGCTATGTATACCACAGAGCATGTTTCTGACCCAAGAAACTTGCACTCCGGACAGACTAGAAGAGGAAGGGAGACAGAGGAGAAAATTGGGACAGATATGCAATGAAGCTGACATGAAGAGACAGAGGAAAGAAATCAGCATGAATACTTGTCTATAAGTGTCTATAAGTTATAGCACAGGCACAAGTCAGCTTTACTGCTTTTACTGAATGTCCAGAAATCACCGCTTTGGCTGGTAATTTGCCAATTGTCTCATGGTGCCCTATTTCTCAGATTACCCCTCAAAGCAAGCCACCAGGACCCAGGGAAGAAGAAATGTCATCACCTGGCTCCTACTATTACCACAGCAAAAGGCAGAAGTGCTTGGCACCTCTGACCATTATCGCTATAGGAGCAGCCACAAGTGAAACAACAAACCTTGAATTTCACAATTCAGGATGAGCAGGCAGGTTAGAGAATGTGAAAAATCCTCATAAAAACATGCAAAAAGAATCCGATAAAGGTGACCCCCTCTTCACTCCCTACCTGCTGACCCCTTTCCTGGGCACTTGCTCTTGCTTTTCTTATTTATTCAAATTACTAAATCCATATCTGAAAAACAGTATCCCATTAAACAAACAAAAAAACACAAAAAAACCAAAAAATGATAACACCTTCCCCAGTAAGGATATTTTGAGAACAGCAGTAAAATGCAGGATATCATACGTTTAGACCAACCCCACCAGCAATACTCCCAGGGACATCAATTAATGATGTTGGTGTTTTGAACACAAAACTAAGTGACTTGAGCCACACAACCTTGTTTCGAAAGTCTTCCTCTCAAGTGACTCCAAAACTACCAGCGGGTGTTTTTAAACAGCTCTTCCCAAAAATTGCACAAACATATGCATACTTGGATACATAAAAGACATCTCCACAATGTTCAGATAACCCCTGAATTCCTTCTCCACTCTTACCAATCCAATCCTTACACTTGCTTCACAGGCCACCGAAATGCAGATTACAAAGCACCAATGGTTTTGCAGACTTGAATCACATCAAATCCTCTCAAAGGTTTAAATACATATTTGTAAAATCGAGCTATGCAGCAGTTAAGATTTGAAAGCCATGCAACTTCAATTTAGCCTGTATACGTACCTAACTTCTGATAATATTCTTTCAGCTGCTTTATTCCATTTTTCCCAGCAGGATTTCTGCTTCATTCAGCAAATGGACAATTGCCCAGTTTTTGCCCTCATCCTATGACCCATTAAATGCTCACCATCTGCATCCTACACTGAATACAAAAACCTCACATTTCCCCATAGGCATGCTTATGGAGATCTGTCCATAATGTGGGAAGACTACATGCAATAAATGAATTTTGCGAGACCAGTATTATTATTCCTGTTCTAAAAGTGGGTGACTGGCACACAATAATGAAAGCCCAAAGAGTAAAAATAAAGCCCATTAACTTTGGTTGCCTTTCAGACACACTCAGAGTCTGATTTTTCAGCCAGTACTTTTAGCAGAATTTTAACTGGAGCTGGAATTTGGAAAATGTAACTTCAGCTGCTGTTATAAATATCCAGCACTCCTATAAGTTAGACTCAAAGTATCTCAAAATGCAAGCAAAATTGAAAATCATCACTGTGACATATTTTGATTTTATTCTTTCTCCAGGACACTAGAACTCTGTCGTTTACTAGTGATCTGAATAAGAGAAGGAGCTCATATGGAAGAGTTTGTGACCACTACTGGGCTGTGTTATAGTCACATAGGTAATCTTCGTCTCATAGTTTTTCTGACTTTTAAGCATCTGCTATGACAGGCTATCTATTCACGTAGCAAGCAATTTGAATATCTGATTTCTTAGATTTTAACAAGAAACAGAAAACACAGCGTTTGCACCACAAAGTCACCACTTACCCATTCACAATTACCTGTGGCTGCTTCAGCCCAAAGCACAGATTTCTACCACTTCAGCCATCACAAATATGTACTCATTTCCACATGGAAACAACATTAATCCCTTGCTGATACCATAGCAGCTAGAAAGAGAAACAGAGTCTCTGGGGTCCCAAATTCTATCCCATTCACTTCCAACTCCAGCAGCGAGATAATGCATGCATCTACACAGCATTTTAGTTTATCACAGGAGAGGGCTTCTGAAGCAAGCCTCCCAGTCACTCTCACTTGAGACGCTTCGGCATGCATTGTACAGTGGTATCGAACACACAAACTCAATTTCTTTTAAGCTAAACTGATCTAGAACATCTGCTCCAAAGTGAACATTTAGCATATGGACTGACCTAGGCAAAAGCAGTATTTCCTGAAACTATTACAGCATCGTTGTTGGATCCTCAATGCCAACCACTTCATTCCACAGAAACGTTCCTCCTGTACTGCACTACTTGTGAAGTAAACGAAGTCAAAATTTAACATCCAGCCTTTTCCTAATTACATCTCCCACCTTTACATACATTGACCAGGGTGGAGCTGACATACAGCTCCACTGTACCCACACACTGAGGTACACGAAGAACTGAAGATACACAACTTGCCTTGAAATAGAACACAAAAATTATCCAGCTTCCTAGAAGACAAACAAACAGCCACTCAGACAGCAAGCAAGCAGTGACAAGGACAGAGCTGGACATCCTCATGAAAGTTTCCACAAAACCAGGTGCTCAACCAAGCAGTTACTCTGTTGGCAAATGTTATACACTGCAACATTGGGGAATAGTATACTTGCGTACCTTATGAAAACTTCTATCAAGCTCTTTAATATTGTGAGTATGGGCAAAATACAACTTTTAAACACCTCATGACTTGGTCAGATGTGAGCAGAACAACCACAAAGAACAAAGACAACACATTCCCGAAAGCAGCGCGATTCATTCCTCAAACCAAATTCTAACTTGCCTCCCCAAAGTCATAAAAATCTGTTCCAATAAGCAGCTCTGGTTTTATAGAAGAAATAAAAAAGCTCTGATCCACTTAAAGCTGAGGCTTCCCAGGGGAAAAAATTTCTGATGCAGATGCATGGAATGGCAAGTTTCACCCTGAGTAGTTGTAATTTAGAACATGTATAAGAAAACAAACACAGAATTTTTTACCTCCTCAGGCAGAGGTCACATCAACAGCTCAGCTTATAATAAGAGTAACACTTCAAAGTCCCATACAGAGAGCAATGTGTAATGGAAAGCTATGTGCATGTAAGAACAAAAAACTTACAACGATAGTGCAAATTATCAGCACTGGTTATTCAGCAATGATTAATGCAGGTATGTAATAAATACTTAGACACATTAAGCTATTATGAAATCTGCTGTATGTATTCTAGCAATTTAAAAAATAAATCCACTATTTTGGTGCAAGACCAGCCATACAGCCAGTGCAGTTTACAGGCACACTTTGTGCCAAATGTTAACAGTAAAACATGAGCACAAATTCACAGTTTCAATGTTTGGAGTAGCTACATAAAATGCAAATCCATTATATCATTAACTGCATTAAGCCTTCTACATAACAGATTTTCCATTTGCATGACCTTAGCAAAAATCACAAGAAAGTTTATAATAAAACTTTTAAAGATATTTATTCTAGTCTTTTAAAAATTGAAATGTAATTTAAGCCATGCATTTGTAAAAACAAAGTTATTTCTTAGGAAAAAAGTGTTTGAGGGATCATTTCTTTACATAAAGCAAAGGAGAAAAAGGTCACTGACCGCTGCAAGGATTTCTATCATCAAGAGGAAGTTTTGGACAAACATTTTATTTGAACAGCTGGAAATCTCCAACCTTCCGACATAAGCAGCATCTTTAATTAACCATTAAAGAAATTTTTTAAGCCCATGTTAAAAAGAAATACAGAAGAAAATATTATTTCTCCTATAAAACTAATTTTTAGTATGTGCAATTTTATCCATTAATTCAGATATCCATTTTATCCATTAATTCAGATTTTAAGCAGAGAGAACTTTACTTATACAGATAATTCCTAACTGCATGGCACAAAGGCACAAATTAACCATACAGGCCCCCCCAGCCTACAATCCACTGAGAAGCAGCAACATGATTGTATAAAGTTCTTCTTACTAGCTCCAGCAAGGCACCGAGAGGCACACAGAAGAACAACACTGACTATAAGGACCTCACAAGAGAAACAATGGTCTAGCGGGTGGAACACCAAGTAAGATTCAGGAATACTGTATTTTATTCTTGAGTTGGGGCTGTTCAGCCCCGGAGAAGAGAAGGCTCCGGGGTGACCTTATAGCAGCCTTCTAGTACCTGAAGGGGGCCTACAGGAAGGATGGAGACGGGTTTTTCACAAGGGTGTATAGTGACAGGACAAGGAGGAATGGCTCTAAACTACAAGAGAGCAGATTCAGATTAGATATTAGGAAGAAATTCTTCACCATGAGGGTGGTGAAACACTGGAACAGGTTGCCCAGAGAAGTTGTGGCTGCCCCCTCCCTGGAAGTGTTCAAGGCCAGGCTGGATGGAGCTCTGAGCAACCTGGTCTAGTGGAAGACACAAACTCTTTGGAAGTTACCTTTCTTTGTGCTTCTACATTTTCTCTTTTTAACAAATCTCCGATCAGACTGCAATGAATGCCTACAGCCTCAGTAACACACTTCAGATGAATTAAAGCTGAAGTGGAGTTTTTGTTTGGTTTTGTGTGGTTTTCTGCGGGGCTTTGTTTTGGTTTGTGGTTTTTTGTTATTTGTTTTGGTTTGTGGTTTTTTGTTATTTGTTTTTTTTTTTTTAAAAAAGGCAGTTTAGTTCTTATTGCTGATGAAATAGGCTTTGTAAGAAGATCACCCAAATACAAGCAGAAGCACAGAAGCCTACCTGATCATGCACAGAGCCTAAACCAACAGTTTTAAAACGCAAAAGGCTTCTTCATAGGTAACAGTCAAGAACCTGCGGAGATGATGATCCCACAGCCAGAGATTTAAGGGGTTTTCTTCCCCATTTTGCCACACCATGGTATGTTTCTTCCACAGAATTCAGTTCTTGGCTTGGAAGATGCCAGCATTTCTTGTCTCCCGTGTACAGCCATTTTCCGTCCCCCACTCTACCACAAAAACAAAGTTATTGCAGATGCTTCCTGCTTTGCCTGACGGGGCCAGTGAGCAAGGCGTATCGAGCAGCATTCCTATTCTCCCATCTTCAGCCCTACTTTTCAACAACTATAGTTATTAGAGAGAAAAGACATTTTAAAAAACTTTTAGAATATGAACTACAAGAGCACTTTTAAAAGAACTCTTGCAAGAGCTAGGAGATCAAGACAGAATAACATCCATTTTCTTTAACAAGAAGCTCTGATCTTCAAGCTGAGGCTTTGACTTTTTTCTAAATCTATAGCGCTATTCTAGCAGTACCATTTTAAACACAAATCCCTTCAAGCATCGTATTTGTTGACACATGCTTTCAAAAGATTGCCAAACCTTATCACAAGTAGCAAAGCCTCAGTTGTGCCTTGTATCTCAAACACCAGCTTGCCTTTTTTGCCAGTTAGGTCAAAACCATTTCCCTTTTCCACCAAAACAGTCAGTTGAGGAATTAAAAGAATCTACAGATGTTCACAACAAGCTACTTGTATGCAGGAGAGCTGACACTTCTCCACAGCAACCAGACAGCAGTACAGATGGATCTTCTGTCCTATTGCTAACCTTCACCCAGTATAAAAGAAAAGGAACAAACAGCTTGTACAATTATCCAATAATTGCCTACTGCCACACCACTAAGAACTGAAGAGTGAGAATAACTATTATTTGAAACCAACAATCAATTTTCCAACTATTTCCTGAAAATTGCTGCACTAATATTAAAAAAAGAACAAATTGCACAGTAAAGCTGAAAAAACCAATTCCATGACAAGAATCAAAATCAAAGTGTTTGGTAATTCTCTTCGATTTATTGGGAAATATCAGAAAGACAAGTCCAGAGACACTGGCACAGGTATCTGATACTGTTGAAGGATACTTGAGAATAATTCTGGGAATGTTTCTTCTCCGAATGATGGGAATAAACAGGTATTCCTCTTTCAACTGAAAGATTATAAATCTTGTGGCAATGCTTTTAAATGTATTTTCAATTCAAATAATAACCAGCATGTTACATGATGAAAATGTAACTAATCAACACTCCTGGCCCTGAAGTCTCAACCCCACTTCACGGGTGATATATGAAGAAATGGAGGATAAGCAGCAGTGGTTATTCTGGGGTGTTATCAGTATGGAAGACGTTTACGTTAAGGCAGTGTGTTCTTTGTAGCTAAACCTGTGTTACTGCATGTTTATACAGGATCCAGTGTGAAGGGACACTCCTTTTCAGATGAGATGAGACTTCCAAGCACAGCCTCTCTAATAGCAGCCACTTCCTTCAAGTCCGTACTCCAACCATTTGTATTAGTCAACATTAAACAGCTTTTGCCAGTGCTGTTAGTGTTGCACAAATATACTTCATCTTCATATGAATTCATTGGCAGCTGTAAGGACTTACTCATCAGATTCTGAATGCTTTCTTTCCAAGCTGATTTCAGCCCAAAACATCAAAAACAGTCATGACATACGTTAATAATAGTATTTCTATTTCAAGTACTAACTTCCACTTTCTAGCTTCTAATTCCTAAGTATGCTGGAGAGAGTGAAGAACATCATGAAAAACATGATGTAGGCCCTAGTAATCTGGTTTGTGCGATAAACCAGCATCAAATTGAATAAGCTTTTTCAAACAGGGCTTACCAACTCATTACTCAGAATTACTCTAAGAAAATCTGTATGACTAAAGATGCAAAATGAAACATCGATGTACGCATTTTATAGTGAAAACAACCAAAACAAATTCATTAAGGATAGGAAGATGCCAGCTTGAGGGTATTGTCTCTGATCCGCTCTTAAGCATTCAGCATTATAGACACTGAGCTGTCACACTTAACAATTAATTTATTCACAGGAATAGCCAAAATCTAGGAACCAAGTTTGGTTCAAAGTTGAAATTGGACTAAGAATGCTAGCTTGCAATTTTTGTTTGTGTGTTCTGTTTTGTTTTCTTCTCTCCACAAAAACAATCAGGACCCAAACCATTTGCTTCTGTCGAGCAAAAACTGGTTTGGCCAGTTAAGGGCTGCAGAACACAGGCTACCAGGGAAAGAAGGTTTACGACATCAAAACACAACAGCCTGGCATTATGTTGGCAAAACACAGATCCAAACAAAGACCAACTCAGCTGTGGCATTTTCAGAAGGCTGGCTTTCTATCACACAAACGCAGTGCACAGGCACATAGTGATTAACCTCAAAATCTCTGCTCCTTGTCACATGAGTATCAGCAGTGTACATGTGAGAGAAAAGAGAAAGAAAAGGACTTCACTATGCTCTCCCTGGAATGAACTACTGTTCAACTCAGACAGCCTCTACTCCTCCATGCCTATTATCCTCCTGCTCTTCCCAATTCAGGAACTGTCTGCATGAAATCAGCCACCTACAAGTCTCCAAGCACCACAACAGCAGCCCTGTAAACATTTGCAATACACAGCAACCTGCAGAAGTGATGGACACTACTTCGAGCTGTTACAGCTTTTCAAATTAATTCCATTTTCTTTTATAATATTTTTAGTAATATTCAGAATTATGCTTTCATATTAAAATATTTTATCTAACTTCTTGCATTCAAACCCATTACAGACAATCATTTGTTAACATATTCTAAGGCCAGACCTTCTACAGATCTGGTAGCCATCACCACATTTCTAATAAATCCCTGCAGATTTATGGTGGCCTCAGCCTCTTTCTACCTTTTCTACCATGAAGAATGCAAATTCACTCACTATACTCTGTACTGTCAGTCCACTTTGAGTGACATGCTTAGTCTTTGCCAAATCATAATTTTTTCATATCTATATATATATATATATATAAGATAGACAGGAAGTGGTAGAATTAAGAGCACTGCTCAGCCAGAAGGCAGGTCAGAAAGATTAAGAATAATCTATACAGGTTGCATTACCAATATAGAATATACCACTGTAGTTATGCAACCAGTGTGCTCACAAGCCACGTTTCAGAATAAGAGTGCTTTCTTCTTCATCTTACACCACTTTAACTAGAAGGAAACACCAAAATCCCAACTACAGCAAATTACACCAATCCAGCTAAACCAAAATAGCTTCTTCACCTTTGGCTGTACTATTCCAGAATAAAAGTCAGAGCTACAGATGTTTTCCTTTGCAAAACATGGCTTAGCTGCTGAAAACATCACTTAAAACAAGCAGGCATAACTAGCATTTATCTAAATTTGCAGACAAATCCAAATTGCCAAACAGCTCTGCTCACCTGAACGAGTACTAGAAGACTAATAATAATAATAACTAATGTTGAATTTAAAGTACTTTTCAAAGGAAAGAAGGAACATGAAATATCTATACTGAAGCACTGCATCAACATTCTTTGTAAAATACATACTGTAAAGATGCACACACCAAGTAAGCAGGTCCTCACCTGGCTACGTGTAGTTTTTCTTACCTTCCAAGAAAAATAAAACTACACAGACTAGACTCCCCCATTCAAAGGCTTGGAAAACAAGAAAAAAAAAGCCACTGGGCAACTGTTACTCTAGAAAAGTCAAAACAATACATATGAAGAAGACTTGCCATAATCAAGGCTGCAAAGGATGTATCACAGTGCTTCATTAGGTCAACACAGGAACAGGCAAACAGGAGTAAAAGTCAACAAATACCAGGGCTAATGAACGATAAAGATGACTCATTTATTTCAGTTTCATCAGTTTTCAGAACCCTCGTTTTAAGTACCCGAAAAAAAGCCCACAGAGGGAATCGATCTACACAGACGCAATACAACAGATGTACAGCAGTAACGCTTCAAAAACAAACAGAAAGCAATGCAGTGGTAACCACATACTCAGCAAGTGACTCTTGTCATCTTCCCCATGCCTTACTGGTTTTTCTTTGTTAGCCCGTTCTTTGGGCACTCCAGCATCTTTTCAACATCCCAGGACTGCAGTATTTTTGTAGCAACTTCTGAACCGCATTTTGAATTCAGAAATAGCTTGTACTGTGGTGAACACAGGTCAGCAAGTGTTTGCACTTACACCACCTAAATGAATTGCCTGAGGATGGGAAAAATAATTTGACAAAACAAAGCAGATAACTATAGGCTATTCAGGTAAAGACTGTTTATTTTAGATGTTTACGGTAGAAACCTTGGGTTGCAATTATATTTTGAGTTCTTCCACTGCTTAACAAAAACCTACAGAAAACATAGGCAGTATGAAAGCGAGCAAAAGCGTATCAGAATGAAAATTCACTGCTGTCTCCCTAAAAATTAAAGAAGCTCTACACTTTACATCCCCACAACAATCTTCATGAACCTGAATTAGAGGCATTTTTTCTTGCACTAAATCTTTCCACCACTTAATAGATGCTTCATCTTTTCCAACTCTGTCTGTTACGGCTTCCACTCCGTCCTTCAAAACAGTTACTTTCTCTTGCCCATTTTTTCTCTTATCCCAACAGTT